GTAACATTTGCTTCTATAAAGTTTTGTTTTCTTGTGTTACTTAATAAAAAAAATCATTTATATCTTATATTTAAGTGACTGCATTTATTTTCTATTTATGAAGAGACTGTTTGATGAGATAAAAATGTTAAATTAGTGACATGGATGATAGTAGACCTGTTTTAGCCCCAGCATTACATTTATTTCTGTGTTTTGGTTTTTGTCCCATAGTATGGAGAAAAATCTTTTCTCACAGTCAAATTATAAATGGTAACAGATTTTCTTTAACAGTTCACATTACCATCTCAGTATTTTCAGTTTCAGTTGATTCAAAACCTAAAGACATTTTGTTTCAAGGTTGAATTGACAAAATCCTACAACTGCTCACATTTCCTTTTCATAAATCTCATGTCAGACAAGAAACATCCAAAACTTGATATTATCAATGGAATGTTGCACATTCCATTTACTTATTTATTACATCACAGTGAGAGCATACTTCAGCAGATGTGCCTAGCCTTAGCTAGCATTTACTTGAATGTGGAATGTGTATACTTGAGTATTGTTCATGCTAGACAGAAGCAGACCTGATATATTAGAAAACACTCAGTACAGACTGGGCATAGTGGCTCATGCCTGGAATCCCAGCTCTTTGGGAGACCAAGGCAAGAGGATCTCTTGAGCTCAGGAGTTAGAGACCAGCTTAGGAAACATGGGAGACCTCATCTCCACTAAAAAATAAAAGAATTAGCCAGGCGTGGTGGCATGCACCTGTAGTTCTAGCTACTTGGGAGGCTGAGGACCTGAACCCAGGAGGTCGAGGCTGTAGTGAGCCATGATCGAGCCACTGCACTCCGTCTGGTGGGTGACAGAGTGAGAACCTGACTCAAAGAAACAAAACAAAATACTCAGTACAGAGCTAAATCTTAAACTGTTTATCAGAAGTTCAACTGTATTCCCAAAGGTGAAAGGAAAAGCTTTATTCTAAGGGCTGCATGAAAAATGAATTACCTCGGCAGCACAGGTTAACTCATTGGTGTTTTTTTTTCCTTTCTGCCCCCTTACCCCAATTTTTTTCACTGTTCCCCCAGCTTTAAAGCAAAAGTCTAAAGAGTTTTGCTCTATTCCTTAAGTGGGGATAAAATAAAATACTGTTTTCTTCATGGGCCCCCATCACTTTTCAGGAGGCTCTGCTGTTATTCTTGAGATAACTTGGGAGGTGGGAGGAGAAATATGCATATTATGAAGTCCATAGAATGGATAAGTGGAGATGATGCTGGATTTGGACTCACCTTTATATATAATCTCATAATACTCTTGGCATACTGTAGAAGACAGTGCCCGCTGAGGAAGTGGTATGGCGCAGGAACAGTTTGGATATTGGCTGGATGTTCTACCTCTGATTCTAGGTTTGTCTACAAGTAAGAGACATTTTCAAAATTCTTATCTTCATTAAGGAAGAAGAAATGAGAATTACTGATTTTTTAAAATGTGTGCTTTATATAACTGCCCAAGATTTTTTCAGGTAGTCTAAAATTAATTGCAGACCAGCGGGGCTTAGTGGCTCAGCCTGTAATCCCAGCACTTTGAGAGGCCAAAGCAAGTGGATTGCCTAAGCCCGCGGATTCAAGACCAGCCAGGGCAACTTGGCAAGACCTTGTCTCTACAGTAAATCAAAAAGTAGCCGGATGTGGTAGCTCGCACCTGTAGTTCTGGCTACTTGGTTGAGGCGGAAGGATTATTGGAGCCCAGCAGGTCGACGCTGGGGTGGCCGTGAGTGTGCCACTGTACTCCAGCCTGGGCAATAGAGTGAGACTCCAACTAAAATAATAATAATAATAATAATTAATTGCAGACCAGTAGAACAGGCTGAAGAAGCAAGACCCTATTCTCTTTTTATAAGCTTTAAAAACAGAAGATAATAGTTGGATTCCAGCCTGTCTAAAAATACTCATTTGTATTCTGAATTACAGCAGGTAACTAATGATTGTGAACAGACATTAAATGGCTTGGTTCAGGATGTTTATAAATGCTGGAGATATAATAATGTGCAGTAATACACAATATTAACAAGGTAAGAGTTACAGGAAGATGTTCTCTCAGATACAGGATTTGCATATGTATCATTATATAATATGTAATAAGTCTTCCCACTGAGTCAAGTAGTCTGTTTCTGAGATGGGTAAAAACTGCACTCAGAGCTGAGGAACTTTTAAATTGTTGTTTTTGTTTTAACTTTGAATTAATAATAAAAAAACATTTTGAGTTAATGTTTTATTTTTATTAATTTTGTTTTAAAACATTTTATGATCTCAATAAATACACATTATATACTTCTACCTTTGTTTAGGTAATCTCCTTTAGTAGGAGAGCAGAGGTTTGGGAATCGGGAAACACTTCTAGTCCCTCCTGTATCAGATTAATGCTATTAGGGATAACTTCTCTATCTTGGACCTATTCCCTCCCTCCCTCCCCCCTCTCTCCCTCTCTCCCTCTTTTCCAAGTGGAAGTCTTATTCTGTTACCTAGGGTGGAGTGCAGTGGCATGATTATAGCCACCACATTCTTGACTTCCTGGGTTCAGGCAATCCTTCTACCTCAGCCTTCCAAATAGCTGGAACTACAGGTGTGCACCAGTATGCCTGGCTAAATTTTTAATTTATTATAGAGCTTGATCTCAAACCCTTGGGCTCAGGCAATCGTCTCGCCTCTGCCTCCCATAGTGCTGGGGTTACAGGCATGAGCCGCTGCACCCAGCTGGACCCGTTTTCTTTCTTTTTTTTTTGAGTTGGAGTCTCACTCGGTCGCCCAGACTGGAGTGCAGTGGCCGCTCCTGGCCACCACAACCTCAACCTGCTGGGCTCCGGCGATCCTTCCGCCTCAGCCTTCCAAGTAGCTGGAACTACAGGCGTGCGCTACCACGCCCTCCTAGTTTTTTTGATTTATTTTGGAGATGAGGTCTCGCCAAGTTGCCCAGGCGAGTCTCGAACCCGCAGGCTCAGGCAATCCACTCACCTCAGCCTCCCAAAGGCGCGGGATTACAGGCTGAGCCACCGAGCCCAACTTGGACCCGTTTTCTTATCTGTAAAGCCGTAGATCCACGCTGCTCAATAAGGGGGCCGCCAGCCACAAGTGATTATTGACCCTTTGAAATGTGCTAATACAAATTAAGATGTGCTGTCAGTGTAAGATACACCAGGTTTTAAAGACTTAGTAAAAATATAAGCATGTAAAATCTCATTGCTCATTTATTTATTTACATTAATTATATTGTTGGGACGATAATATCTTGGATGTATGATTAGGTTAAATATTAAATTTTATTTCACTTATTTCTCTTTTTAAAATGTGACTGCTAGAAAATTTAAAATTTCGTATGTTCTAAATTTTTACTAGATAGTGCTGGTCTGGGTGGTATTTCCTAAAGTGACTTACGAAATATTTATAAGTGCTCAAAGAAACTCAGTTTGGAAGAGGAGTACTATTCAGGAGATATTTTGCAGTGATATAAATGTTCCATATCTACACTGTCCAGTAGAGTCACTATTTGCCACTGGTGGCTGTTGAGCACTTAAAATGTGACTGGTTATGAAATGTGAAAAATTGAAATGTGGGGAAAAGGAACTGAATTTTACATTTTATTTAATTCATTTAGCTTTACATTTAAGTAGCAATTTATGGTTCGTGGCTGATGTACAGGGGCAGTGCCAATCTAGAGGATTTATGGAGTTGTTTTATTCAAAGACTTGTGTATCAGGACTTGTTTACTCATATTGCAGACTTATTAGCTATTTTAACATAAGACTACATAGTTTGATTATGAGTAATAATAAATGATCAGTAACAATGATACCATTTATTGAGGACCTGTTATGTCACAGGTGTTGTATAAGTACGAGATACAGGACTTGCATGATATATTATTTTCTGAACACTTAACTATTGCTTATATTTTGTAATATGCTTAATGCTTTGTGGATTCCAAGACACTATGTGGGCTTACCATGTTTTCTCGAAGTCTGCTTTCTTTCCTTTCCTTATGAAGGCCCTTTGTAAGAGCCAGGCTCCTTTTGAAAAATTTGAACAATGTGCCACTTTGTTAAAGGGTTTTCTCTTGAAAAGGAAATCCATGCTTTTTAACAGATGACTATGATGGTGAAGATTTTTGGGAAACTTTTGAAGTTAAACTTAAGCTTTTGGCTTTAAAATATATACATATTGTGCAACCCACTTACGGGTCCCCTCTCGCTGCCAAGAGCTTTCCTGTCTCCTAATAAACTGACTGACTTTAAAAAGAATGTGTGTGTGTGTGTGTGTGTGTGTGTGTAATGTATTTATTTTTAGCAACAAGATAAGAACCTAAGCTTTTGGCTTTAAAAGACATATATGAGGAGACCCCCAAAAACCCAGAATTATCTCTTGGAGAGTGGGCCCCCGGTAGTACAGGCTTCCCTTGCTAGGTAAATGTTCTAGGAACCCAGCAACATCAGTATTCCAACTTGTGTTATTCTGAGAGACTACGTTCGGCTTCAGTGAAGTTTTTTTTTGGACATTCTTTCAACACGTTTCCCCATTTCATGATGAGTGATTTACAAGTGTACCTACCCACACTGCGCTGAGTGTTCAGCAGTTTTTGACCCAGTATAGTATGACCCCTGCGCCCCACCTCGCTATTCCCCTGATCTTGCTCCAAGTGATTTTTTTTGTTTCCTGATGAAAAAAGTTCTTAAAGGGAAACATTTTGCCAATGTGGAAGAGGTGAAACAAAAAATGGCAGAAGCACTGAAAAGCATCCAAATTCATGAGTTCAAAAACTATTTTGAGCAGTGGAAAAAGCATCTTTATAGGTGTATTGCATCAAATAGAGAGACTTTAAAGGTGACTAAAGTTTAAACGTAAGAATAAATGCAAAAATTTTTACAAAAATAAATCCAGGATTTTTTTGGGAGAGGGTCTCCCTTCTACATCCTAGTATCATGCAGTTTTATTAATTAATTAATTAATTATTGCTTTGCAGTGAAGAACTGAATGTCATCATGTCTGGAATCAAGCGAACAATCAAAGAAACCGATCCTGATTACGAGGATGTATCTGTGGCCCTTCCAAATAAGCGGCATAAAGCAATTGAGAATTCAGGTAGAAACTGGCCTATCTTAAGAAACTATTTCTTTATTGACATAAGCCTCCACTATAAGATTCATAGGAACTGAAATGAAATGAATTTGCACTGTTGTATATAATTTGCAGGAGTTTGAGAGAGATTAGCTAAATGCTCTGTTGAATAGTGATACATCACATGTGGCCCAAAAGGCAGAGGATGATCTGGCAGGAACATGATCAGGTAGATGGTGAAAGCATCGGTAATGAGACAGGCTATGAGTTTTAGCTATCATTGTTAGGTAGAATCATAAAGTCTGTGATATGTGTACTGTAGTGTAGTATAATCATTTGAGATGATTATAGATAATACATGAATTAAAGGTTTTTATTTTAGTAACTGCATATTATTTTAAAGTGTATAAGAAAGAAAATGATGTCATCAAACTTGCAGTTTCTTGACTACTATTGCTTAAGAGAAAGCTAAAATTATTTAAAAATATATTTAACCGTGTTAATTAAATATTTTACATGGTTCTCAGATGTGGTAGGTCTCTTGAAGGTGATATGTAAGTGTTGCAAATTTGCAAAACATCTGTCTAGTCCAACTCCTGCACTTAGCTGCTAGTGAACCTAGCAGGTTAAATTACTTGCCCAACATCATATAGTTAGTTGAAGAGTAAGTCATCAACTATATATCTGTAGGTTCTCAGAAAGTCTTAAGCTATCCAAAAAAATTGGTAAATTTTTGTTGCTGAGTTATTGCTGAATTTCATTTATGTCTACATATGTAATCTACATAAGTTAATACTTTTAGCAGGGTAAAGAAGGTGTCAAAGTCTTAGCTAAGGTATTGCAGTTTTGCAAAATTAAAATTCTTAGAGTGTAAGCAGTGAAGAAAATTCCTATCTCTGTTAAGTGCAGTCAAGTCATACATACCCCAGAAAGCCCATGTGGGGGATGGGGAAAATGGTCACATTTAATCCCAAATAATGAAAACATGTCACTGCAACTTTTTCTATTCATTCCATTGTAATTTATTTGTGAGGAAATATCATTTTCTTTCAATAACAAGTCAAACAAGTATGAAAGTATCAAGTAACTTAAATCAGTTACTCAAAAGCTTCACACTTTTTAAAAAATAAAGACAAGAACAGGGAAAAGTTGTTTTAGTAACACTAATGACAGTTTAATTGGAATGTTAGTCCCTGAATCCCCCCCATTCATGCAGGAACAATGTTGTTTTTTACTGAACGGCAGTATGCTTTTCAGGTTTGTATCTGTACTCTACCTAATTCTAACCTTTTTTTGTTTTGTTTTGTTTTTGTTTTTGTTTTGAGTTGGAGTCTCACTATGTCGCCCAGACTGGAGTGCAGTGGCCGCTCCCGGCCACCGCAGCCTTGACCTGCTGGGCTCTGGCGATCCTTCCACCTCAGCTTTTCAAGTAGCTGGAACTACAGGCATGCGCTACCATGCCCGGCTAATTTTTTTTTTTTTTTTTATTTATTGTAGAGATGAGGTCTCGCCAAGTTGCCCAGGTGGGTCTCAAACCCGCGGGCTCAGGCAATCCACTCACCTCAGCCTCCTAAAGCACAGGATTACAGGCTGAGCCACCAAGCCCGGCTCTAATTTTTTTTTAATTACAAAATTTTTCTCAAAGAAGATTTGGTGGAATGCTTCCCTTTATTTATATTACTTTGTTTTATGTCTTGTTTTTGTTTTTACTTATTCTGTGAAAGAGACTTAGAAGTGTTTTTTCTGAGGAGTTTAGAATAAAACAATCCTCAGTGATCATAATGTCTGATTCTCAGCATCTACTAAAAGTATCTGCTGGGGCAACCCTTTCAGGTCCCTTCCCACTGTGGTAGCTTTTCTGTCCTCTCAATAATTCCTGCTAAAATAAAATAAAAATATCTGCTGGCTTACATATATGAGGTATATATAAACCTTTTATTCAGATGTTTATATGTATGTATATATGTAACCTAGTACTTCTAGGAAAAATTTTTTTCCTCATATATGAGATACATGTCAGTCAGTTGCCCTCTGTGCAGACATATCCATAAGAATGCTAATACCATTACAAATTTAAAATTGCTAACCTAATGGCATATTTTATGGGGAGAAAATGACACAGGTGTCATCAAGGATCAAAATATTCCCCTTAGTTTTTCATATACTCCAAAGCATGGATGCTGATTTTTTTGCAAAATCCCATGTTTGTTTTTCAAGTAGTCATTTGACTCTTCTTTTGTTCTCTTGTGTCAGGCCACATTTTGTATTTTGATGTTTTTAACTTTTTGAGTTGTATGTTGCTTTGAGTAGTCATTGTCTAAATATTGTTGCCTTCAGAGGCATTTTTTTTCCTTTTGAATTCTCTTTGCTCATTCCTTTAGGTAGTTTGATCAGAAACTGTGGAATTTCTACCTAGAGCCTTGTCTACAGAAGGAAACTTCTGCCTTTTTATGAACGGCTCTAGTGTCACACACTACCTCCCCTCCAGCTAACTATTGACTTTTGTTCTTTGGGGGCTGTGGGTTTTCATCAGTCCCAGATATTTCTTTCAGAATCTTCATGGGTTTCTTTTTCTTTTTTCGTTCTTCCTTTTTTGGTAATTGTATTTCAATATAATTTTGAGCAGAAAAATTACAAAAGAGCGTGTCCCATCCAGATTATTTTGCTATTTGCTTACATTTTGCCTCTTTTGGTTTGTCATTCTTCTCCATGTCCCCACACGAAAGCGCACATTTGTGTATGCATACATGCAGATAGGTACACAGTGTTTTTTTCTTTCTTAACCATTGGAGAATAAATTGGACACCTGTAAACACTTCTGCATAATTTTTTTTGAGTTGGAGTCTCATCTCACTCTGTTGCCCAGGCTGGAGTGCAGTGGCATGCTTACAGCCACCATAGCCTCGACCTCCTGAGCTCAGGGGATCCTCTTCCTCAACCTTCCTATTAGCTAGGCATGCGCTACCATCCCCAGCTAATTTTTTTGATTTATTGTAGAGATGAGATCTCGCCAGGTTACCCAGGCTGGTCTCGAACCCCTGAACTCAGGCAATCCTCTTTCCTCGGCCTCTCAAAGTGCTAGGATTATAGGCTTGAGCCGCCACGCCTGGCCTTGCTTCTGTGTGTTTTCTTTTTTTCTTTTTTTTAGAAAGCAGGATTTATTGAGAGGACAGAAAATCTCCCACCTTGGGAGGGGACCCGAAGGGGTTGCTCTCTTCTGTGTATTTTCTAAGGACATTTTCTTATATAACCACAGTACAATGATCGGAAACAGGGAATTTTAACATTGTTACATTACATTACCTAATCTGTGGTTTATATTCAGGTTTTATCAGTTGTCCTAGTATTGTATTTTATAGCTATACCCCCTCCTCCCCCTTCAGGATCTAGTCCTAGTCACACAGGGCTTTTTTTTTTTTGGAGAAAGCAGAATTTATTGAGATGACAGAAAAGCCCCCACAGTTGGAGGGGACCCAAGGGGGTTGCATCACACAGAGAATTTTAGTCTCTTCAACCTTTCCGTGTCTTTCTTGACTTTAATATTTGAATAATGCAGGCCAGTTATTTTATAGAATGTCCTTCAGTTTGGTTTTGTCTGATGTTTCTTTGTGAAACATGACAGCATTTTTGGCAGAAATACCACAAAATGATGTTTTGGTCTTTTTAGTTCCTCAAATCAGAAAGTATGTGAGGTCAGTCTATGCCAATATTAGTGATTTTAATTTTTCATCACTTGGTTAAGGTGATGTCCGCTAGGTTTCTTCACTTCGGAGTTACTATTTTTTGGGTTTCTTTTAGTTGCTTCCTGACTTAAGTCAAGATGGCCACTGAATAATTAGGTCTTAAATGTGTTTTATGTTCTTTGTGCAGCTCGAGATGCTGCTGTGCAGAAGATTGAGACTATTATCAAGGAACAATTTGCTCTTGAAATGAAGAATAAGGAACATGAAATTGAAGTCATTGACCAGGTATAATGATGATAAATTGAAAAAACACCAAAGTTATTGGGGGGAAAAAATACAGCTTTCTTGTTTTGGGGAGGATAAAAATGCTACTTTTAAAAAAAGGTGAAATTGCAGAAAAGATTAAAAAATTACCTGAAATTCTAAAAAGTTAAATCCCCCTTTGCTTTTTTGTTGAGTATCTTATACTAGTATTACAATAATGATAAATATACGTACACTATATCTTAACCCTTGCAATACTATTTTTTGTTGTTCTTTTAAATCGTGCTGGAAAATATTACTTTTGTTTTTCTTTTGATTATTAGAGAAGTAGAGCTTTTTTTCGTTATTTTCATTTTTTATTTTGCAAATTGTTTATGGATCTCTTTTATAATTGTCATTTAAAAAATAACTAGTTAACATTTGTTTTTAGCGACTAATTGAAGCAAGAAGGATGATGGATAAACTTCGTGCCTGCATCGTAGCAAACTACTATGCTTCTGCGGGTCTTCTAAAAGTTTCTGAGGTAAGTATTCCTCATCTTCAGTCATTTTCCAGCCACTCTGGGTCAATGTGGAATTCCTGCCTCTGAAACATTTTTTATATTGACCTTCAGAATTCAAGCCTAGTCTACCTTCCTGAGAGTATACAGATTTATCAGTCAGTGTGTTCAACCTTAGTCCTTTGGTCATACCTCTCTGCATTGTCAGTAATCCTAAGTAATATGTTTAAATTCAGGTTAAATAATTCTGGCAAGAAAATTTCATAGATGGTGTTGTGTGCTTGATGTTACATCACATCAGCAGCCACGTAATATCATGTCGTCTGATAGTGAACTAAGTTTGACCACTTGGTTAATGTGATTTCCACTAGATCATTCCATTATGAAGGAAAATTTTGTTCCTAATTTTGTTTTTGACAAGCAAATGGAAAATAAATGTCTGACTTTTTTTTATCCTAGTAATCTGTCCAAATTCAGGCATAGGGGATAGGCCTGAACTGAAATAGAAATATTTCTTCCTGTTTGATATTTTGATAATTTTAGCATAACTTTTGCTTGGTTTTTCTCTTTTTAATTTCTTTTTCCTGAGTGTTTTCAGTTAGAATTATTTTCAGCTGAATTTCCTCTTGGACAGTACTGACTCAGTAGGAATTGGGGAAGGGCCAGAAGGTGACAGTAAGAGTACTTTTGTTTAGACTTTCATGTTGTCCTGTGGAACTTCATGGTACCTGGTATTGTTTTATCCTTATGTTGTCTTACAGAAACTATAGCATTATTTGAGTTTGATTTTAGATGGTAGTTAGGTTTTTCTTTTACTTCAGGGGTTGCTATAAAATATTAGCATCTGTATTAGTTTTCTAGGGCTACTGTAGGAAATTACCACAAGCTTGGTGGTTTAAAACAACAGGGATTTATTTTCTCACTGTTTTGGGGACTAGAAGTCTAAAATCTAGGTGCTGGCAGGGCGATGCTCCCTTTGAAGTCTCAGGGAAATAATCTTTTCTTGCCCCTTCCTAGCTTCTGCTGGTTGCCGGCAATCCTTGGCCTGCAGCTGCATCACTGATTCTGTCTTCACATGAACATTTTCCCTCAGTCCAAGTTTCTCTCTTCTTATATAAGGATACTAGTCATTGGATTATGACCTACCCTTATCCAGTGTGACTTCATCTTAACGATTACGTCTTCAATGACCCTGTTTCTGAGTAAAGTCACAATCATAGAATCTGGGTGGATGTGAATTTTGGGGGGACACCATTCAACCCAGGACAAAGTCTCATGTCATCTGTTTTATGGCTCACTATTGGATTCAACAAGATGGACATCACAAGCTAGTTCCTGCATGATGTAGGACTGACGTAGGTAGCTACTGTGTTTGAAGAGTTGTTTATTCATTTAATGTTTTGTTCCTTTTTTTACTGTTGGTAATTCTGATCTGTGCCCTTTCATGATCTAGAAATGCATTGATTTTATCCTGTTCTGATTAGGATTTATTCAAGGATATTTAGATATGATTTTGTCTATTAATGATCAGCCATTTCATTATTTTGTTTGCAGTAACAGGACATATTTATAACTCTGAAATTATTGAAATTGAGCAACTTTTGTTGCTTTGATTCTAAAACGCTACTTTCTGCCTCCTTTTTTCTCATTAAAACAATTACTTTAACAACACAGTTTTAAAAAACCAGGCCTCCCAGGAACATACCTGCAGTGTATAACAGAACTCACTGTATTTTGTATGCAAGTAACTAAGATACAGAAAAATAACCTAGGTGTCTGCACTGACCTGGGGGCAAACTTTATACATCAGTATTAGTCATTCTAAAGCATTTTGTATTACATTTTACTCCTGTATGGGGACCATTTTATATTTACAGTTTTTTCATTTTTATGTTTATTTCAATTACTTTTTTTTTTTTTTTTTTGAGTCGAAGGTCTCACTCTTTTGCCCAGGCTGGAGTCGGAGGTCTCACTCTTTTGCCCAGGCTGGAGTACAGTGGCATGATTATGGCTCACTGCAGCCTTTAATGCCTGGACTCAGGTGCTCCTTCCACTTCTGCCTCCTGAATAGCTGTGCTTACAAAGGCATGCGCCACCGTGCTAACTTTTTGATGTTTTGTAGAGATGAGGTCTCACTTGCTATGTTGCCTAGGCTGGTCTTGAACTCCTGGGCTTAAGAAATCCTCCTGCCTCAGCCTCCCAAAGTGCTGGGATTGCAGGTATGAGCCACTGTGCCCAGTCATCAAGGATACTTTATTTAGAACCGTTGATGTGTTTGTGTAAAGTAATGTGAGACTTATTTTTTTAAAGTCAAATCTTGTTTTCTGTGTTACCATATATTTATCCTTATTTCTCATTGATCTCCAGAAGACCCTCATGTCTAGTTCTTAGTGTTAGAACCTTTATGTAAGTATTTATGACTCTCGCTTTTATTTTCAGACCATGTTAAGAAGTTTGGATTTCATTTTATGGGTGAGGGGAGATTTTGAAGGATTTTAAGCATGGTCCTGTAACAGATAAGGGTTTTAGAGAAATGAAATTTTTGCCTGCTTTTGATGGATTTGATTACAAATTTGTTTTCTTGCTTTCATTTTTTGTAGGGATCAAAGACATGTGATACAATGGTTTTTAATCATCCTGCTATCAAGAAATTTTTGGAATCACCATCCAGGTCCTCATCACCTGCCAATCAAAGATCAGAAACACCATCAGCCAATCATTCAGAAAGTGATTCTTTATCTCAGCATAATGACTTCTTATCTGACAAAGATAATAACAGCAATATGGATATAGAGGAAAGACTCTCAAACAACATGGAGCAGAGACCAAGCCGAAATACCACAAGGGTATAGTTGGATGGATGGGAGGGAGCCAGAGGAGAAAGGAACTAGTATTTATGAAGTATGCGTATTATCTCATTTCGCTTCCACAGGAACCCTGGGAAATAGGTTGCTGTCCTTTTAGAATGGGGAAATGGAATCTTTTTTTAGTTGGAGTTTCACTTTTGTCGCCCAGGCTGGAGTGCATTGGCATGCTGATGGCCACTGCAGCCTTGACCTGCTTGGCTCAGATGATGCTTCCACCTCAACCTTCCAAGTAGCTGGAACTACAGACGTACACCACCATGCCTGGCTAGTTTTTTTTGTGTGATTTATTGTGGAGAAAAGGTCTCACCAAGTTGCCCAGGCTGGTCTCAAACCCCCAGGATCATCAGTCCTCTCGCCTTGGCCTCCCAAAATGCTGGGATTGCCCAACTGAAAGGGAATCTTAATGAGGTTAAAATTAAATTTGCTCAAAAGTGTCAGAACTGAGAGTTAAACCTGGGCGTTTCTAACTTTAGAGCCTAGGGCTCCTGTTCACAGCACAGCTCCTGCATGCCATTCATATGAATGTGAAAGGAACCTTCAGGAATTGGCTGTGATCTTGGTCTTTCTGCTCTTTCATGTTTATTCTCCTAAGAGCAATGGCTCTTCAGCCATTTGCTCTATGAGACTTTGTATCCCAGATGCTTTAGTAACTGGAGGAAATTTGACAAATAATAAATACAAATAAAAACCATGTATTGCTCTTTGGTTCTGCCAGTTTGTTTTTTTGAGTTCCCATCTCACACTACTCTGAACTTCTAGATGTAATACTTGGCTGTCGAGTCATTATTGGATTAGATCAGTGATTTCTCTTAGCCAAGTGTTCTGTGATAGAGGAAGTTTGCACGTTGTTTTCCACATACTTGAACATCAAGAAATATATTTATTTTTGATAAAAATAAAAGATTCTAAATTCATATGTGTTCATTGCTGTAATGTAAAATTCAGAAAACTTTATTCATAAGACTTGCACCCCAAAATCAGAACTCTTAATTAATGTTTGGATTTACTTGTACCTTTCCAGTTTATTTCTGTACGAATACTGCACATTTTTCTTTTTTAAAGAGTGGAGCCGAGTTCAGTGGCTCAGCCTGTAATCCCGTGCTTTTGGGAGACTGAGGCATGCAGGTTCGAGACCTGCCTAAGCGACTTGGCGAGACCTCATCTCTACAGTAAATCAAAAAATTAGCTGGGCATGGTAGCACGCACCTGTAGTTCTAGCTACTTTGAAGGCTGAGGCGGAAGGATCGCTGGAGCCCAGCAGGTCGAGGCTGTGGTGACCAGGAGCGTGCCACTGCACTCCAGTCTGGGTGACAGAGTGAGACACCAACTCAAAAAAAAAAAAACAAAAAAGTGGGGCATGCTAGTTATAGGATTTAGAAACTTAACATTTTATACAATATATGGTCACTTGTGTATATATTTTATAACACACATTTAGCACTTAAAATGTACCAGGCACTTTTCAAAGAACTGTCCAAAGCAGTTATATGAGGCAGGTGCTATTATCATGCTTATTTTATAAATGAGGAAATTGAGACAGAGAATCTAAGATTTTACCTAAGATTACTCATTAGTAAATAGAAGAGCCAGGATTTGTACCCTGGCAATCTGCCTCTGTAGTCAGACTTTTAGCTTGTCACTTTATATTCTCACTGAAAGTTTTTGAGTGGTACAAAAAGTTATAAAAGAAAGTAAGTTCCATTGACCCTTTTCTCCATTTCCATTCCCCAGAAGTAACCATTGTAATAGTTTCTTGTGTATCCTTCCACATCCTATTTGCATATTCAGTATGGATATGTGTAATAATTAGAAACACAAAAAGAATTACAGTTTGTGAACTTTTTTATAAATTAGTGTAGCATTTATAATAAATTTTTTAATGCTTTGAGAGGTGCCACAAAGCCAGATAATTTTGTAATAAAAAAATTTATTGATGTGTGTAACTATTAGAAACACAGACAGAATTATAGTTTATAAACTTTTGTATAAATTAATGTGTGTTTATAGTAAATATTTTTAATACTTTGAGAGGTGCCACGAAGCCAGATAATTTTGTAATAAAAAAATTTATTGATGTGTGTAACTATTAGAAACACAGACAGAATTATAGTTTATAAACTTTTGTATAAATTAATGTGTGTTTATAGTAAATATTTTTAATACTTTGAGAGGTGCCACGAAGCCAGATAATTTTGTAATAAAAAAAATCTTAGTTCTTTCATTCTTTTTATGATTTTGTGATGTCTGCCCTATTGAAAATTGTTGAAAATGAATGTTGATTTTTTTTTTTTTTTTCCAGGATACTTCTGGTGTAACTGGCTCCCATAAAACAGAGCAGCGTACTGCTGATCTCACAGGAGATGAGACTTCACGACTTTTTGTAAAGAAAACAATAGTAGTGGGCAATGTTTCTAAGTAAGTATCCAATTGGATTTAATTTTCATCATCCATTTATAGTAATACTTTGGCATTAGTACACTTGTTATAATGTTACAATGGGAAGAAACTCAGGGATTCTTTTCCCAAGCTCTTAGTTGTTTCAAAAGTAAGCCACAGTGCAGAGACTTTTCTTGGGTAATCTTGTTCTTTAGGAAGTAGAGTCAGAATTTGAATCTTGGTCTCCTATTTTTCATTTGGATATCATTTCCTCTGTACTGCCTCTCTTTGCAGTATCATTTGGCCTTGTTTTGCACAATATCTGTAAACGTCCACAAATGACAAAAAAGAGGAAGATGTTTGCTCTAGAATGTCATTAGAGAAGAAGCAGTGTAATCTCTACATTTTCACATATAGTTTGTAAAAGATGATAATTGTTATTCAATGTCCTCAACTCTAACTTTCAAATCTTCAATTTTTTTCTACACATTTACCTTCTTGCACTTGCCACTTATTTGTGATTGGCACTTCTAAAGCTGAAATCAGATTCTTCTTCTTGGAAACTCATTTACTGTTCTTTGTTTTTGAAATGAAGTGTGATGGGTTTCTTTGATTTTCTTTTCCTTCTTCAAAACCTTTACTTAAATCCTTTTTAGCAACTCTATAAGGCAAGCCAAAGAGGTTTGCATCTAACACGTAATGGGAATATGAGATAAAGTAGATAAAGTCTCTTTTTTTTTTAAAGTCAGAGTCTCACTGTTGCCCAGGGTAGAGTGCAGTGGCACAATCATGGCTCACCACAACTTCAGCTTCCTGGGCTCAGGTGATCCTTCTACTTTAGCCTCCTGAGTTGCTGGGACTACAGGTGCACACCACCACTCCCAGTTAATTTTTAATTTTTTTTAGAGATGAGTTCTCACTATGCTGCCCAGGCTGGTCTTGAACTCCTGACTTCAAGCAATCTTCCTACCTCTGCCTCCCAGAGTGTTGGGATTATAGACGTGAACCACCGTGCCTGGCCAAAGTCTCATTTTCAATCATCCATTCATGTTAATATTTTTGCAGGAATATTCTTATTGTCCTAGTATTAACGGTAGGAAGAGACTGCATGGAATTTTTTTAAGCTCTTAGTTGTTTCAAAAGTAAACCAAGGTTCAGAGACTTGAGTCTCTGCCTTCATGTGTTTGCCAGTCTTTGACTTAGAATAAAGTAGTGTTGGTAAAAATTTCTAAGGCATGAACTCTTACGTAAATGTATCTTATCAGCATGTCAATGTGTGTAAATTTGGAAGAACTTTTGATTATTTCTGAACTAGTTCTATCCTTATAGTTCTTAACTAATTCCTAAAAATGTTGATTTCGTTACCCAAACTGAAGTGTTTTTAATTTGTAACAAAAGGTTGCTGAACATATCTTAAAGACAGAAGCCCTTCAAGCTGAAGAATTATATTTTTAACAATATGACCTCTTCCTGTCTTTTAACAGTATGACCTCTTCCTGTCTTGTGGGAGTCTCATCATTTCTGTCAAGTGTCTAGGTTGAATAAAGACATTAAATATCTTCTCATAGCATAAGAATGTTATACTGTATAAATATTTGGTCCAGATGTAAATATATGGAAGGGATTAAATTAGCTAATTTCCTCATGAAGTTTTATTTGCTGATCCCTGCCCTCATTAGGAATATTCTGTGCTCTATTCTTGTAATTTTAATCATATGATATGGTCATTTTCTATTTCCATATATTTTTCCCAAATTAAATTGGAATATCTTTAGAGTAGAAACTTTGTCTTGTCTGGTCTTGTACCTCAGAGTACTTGTTTAGTAAATATGTGGTTGATGAATAAATCAATACGCTTAAGAGAGGAAAAAATGAACATAGTTTATGTAAACCTGGTGAAATTAGTTTAAAAAGTTAATCAAAGGAAAAAGAAAAAGCACAAATAATATTAGAAATGAAAAAAGAAAATTTAACTACAGATGGTAAGCTGTTAAAGTGATAAGAAACTATTAATATCTTTATGCCAACACATTTGAAAATGTAGATGAAATTATTATCTACAGTCTCCTTGTGGCCTGGTAGGTTTACCTGAATTTCCAGACTTGGCCTTTTCTGAGCTAGATGTACTATGTTTTAAAGATGTCTTTTCTCCCCCAGATTGATGTGTAGGTATTCCAATTAAAATCTCAACAGGGTTCATGAAATTCACAGGCTGGTTCTTATATATGCCAAAGTAAAGAGCCAAGGACGAGAACACTCCTGAAAAGCTAGGTTAGGTGACTTGGCCCTTATATTACAAAGGATCAACCATAGGTATAAATAAACATGTAGAAGGACATGACCATGTTTTCCATTGGAATTTGAGAAGGGGGCTTATACTAAAATAAAGACAGGCCCCATAAACGGAAGGGCTGGAGATGCTAGTTTTACCATGGTCAGGACTTAAAGGACTGGCTTGTTTTGGCTTTCAAAAGGCAGGAAACCAAGTGCAACCTTCTTGGTAGCAATGAGAGGCACCAGATGGGCCCAAAGTTCTAGCACCCTAAAACGTGAAGGAAACCAACCCAAAGACTAGAGTTTCCCTAACCCAGGAATAAAAATATGCCAGTTTATTGCCACCTTGTATACCCACTTGGCAAGAGAAACAAGTTTTGTTTTTTTTAAATAGTGCATTGATAATCAGAAAACAAAACAAACTTTTGTAATGTAATGCCTCTTAAACCAAATACATGTTTTAAAAAGAAAGAAAAATAAAATGATTAACTGCCAAGACTATGTTTGTTTAGTTAGCTGATATAGCTGTTAAATATTGCTGGAATTTTAATCTTATTTTTTAAGTTGGGGTTGTTTTATTAGGTTTTATGAAGGGAAAAAGAATCCAGGTTTCTTTGTTTTTCTTCTCTAGGTATATACCTCCTGATAAAAGAGAAGAAAATGACCAGTCAACTCATAAGTGGATGGTATATGTCCGAGGGTCTCGTAGAGAACCCAGCATTAATCATTTTGTTAAGAAAGTTTGGTTCTTTCTTCATCCCAGCTATAAACCAAATGACCTTGTGGAAGTTAGGTAAGCACACTTGAGTTATTTAACCTAAGAAATACAGATTTATTGAAGTGGGAAAAGGTGGTTTAACCTCAGAAGGGTCCCTGGAAATTTTTATATTGGTAATTTACTAAGCTTTGACTTTTAGTCACAATTTTATTTTAGCTGTGTTTCCCTCTTGCCAGATGACTGTCTCACTGAACAGGCAGTGTTCCCTCCTGTCATATTGTTGTCACAGTAATTAGCTGATTTTGCTCCCATCTGGAAACAGCTACACTTGTTTATATAGATACAGATCATAATTTTTTTAAAAAATAGATCTCAAAATATAACAGAATCAAATTTAGGATTCTAATATTACAGAAATATTTAATGTTAAAAATTCCCATAGGTTATCTCACCCTCTCATAAGTAATCTGCTAGGGATATTTTTCCTGTACATATTTTAGCCTGTAATTGTTTTCTGTTGTTATTTCATAAAGATGGAATGATAATATTTATACTCTTGTGAAATTTGCTTGTGTCCTTTAGATGTGTTCTTTGTATCTTTTTATGTGTTACACATGTATGTATTCTTTGTATAAATGTACTGTGGAAGTGGTGGTGGATTATTATCAGTGGAATCTCCTGTCTTCTGCTTTGTTCAAAACATTTACTTTACTCCTGCCTGACTCTTAAACAAAACTGTCTTCTGAGAACTCTTCTGCTTCTTCTGTAGCCCTTTCAAGTGGTGGGTGTTTTTTTTCTCCCACGCACCGTTGGATCTGGGAGTGGGATGGGTGTCTTTCTTGATCATATTTGTAGCTTTCAGACCACATTCCCCTTAAAAAAAACAAAAAACAAAAAAAACCTCAGCTCCATATGATCTGCTGCTCCTCCTTTTTTGCAGTAATCTAATTTCTCAGGTTACTCCCCTCTTTCAGCAATGGTTTGAGTACCTGGTTTATTCATTTCCTCCCTACCAGTGCTTGTGCCTTCATTCTTAAGGACTTTGTATACATATAGATAGTTCATTCAAAACCCTACTCTCTTGGTTCATTGATTTCTTCACTTAATGATTATGTTAATGTGATTACCATAGAATCTGAGTAAGAAGAGAAGTGAATTATATAAGAGCAGTGATGGACAGTGAACATTTTTGTGGACAAAAAGTAGAAGCTGATCCTTTCCAGTTCATAGGTGTGATGTTTGGAATTTCACAATCATATGTGAGATGCAAGATGCATCTCCCTCAAACCTTGTTAGAAAGTTGGAACATTACTCATTTACATGGAAAAAAAACAACAAAGAAATGGAGGTCCCAGTGAGGTCAAAGAATAGTTGGATTAGGAGTAGAGCTGGAAAGGTAGGGATTAGTGGTCAGAAAGAATGCTTAGAAATAAGATTTTCATAGGTGGTACAGTATGGTTATTTTCTTCATATGGGTAATAGTTATCAGTTTATCTGTCCTTTTTCTACCTCTGATATATGCTGTATTTCATATAAACATGTATCCTATTCTAAGTTGTTGAAAATATTTATTCCTGACTGGGCGTGGTGGCTCAGCCTGTAGTCCCAGCACTTTGGGAGGCCGAGGTAAGAGGATTGCTTGAGTCCAGAAGTTCAAGACTAGCATAGGCAACTTGATGAGACCTCATCTCTATAGTAAATCAAAAAACAAGTGGGGTGTGGTAGCACACACCTACAGTTCCAGTTACTTGGAAGGCTGAGGTGGAAGGATCGCCTAAACCCAGCAGGTCGAGGCTGCAGTAACCTGGGCGACAGAGTGAGACTCCAGCTCCAAAAAAAAAAAAAAAAAAATTATTTCTGTAACAGCATTTTATTATTTTAAGTGTATTGCTTTATAACATATTCTGATATCTGTTAGAGTATATTTCTTTCATTATTATTCTGATTTTTTTTTACCATTCTTCAGTATATATGTTTTTCCAGATTACTTTACAGTCAAATTGTCAAGTTACAGATTGTAATTATATTGAATTAATGATTAACTTTTAGTGAAGTTGTACTTTTTAAATGAGACTGGCTCTTTCTATCCCCTGTCTACCCAAGATAATCAATCAGTGTAGTCGTTTTTCAATGCAAATAAAATTTTTTTCTTCTATTATATAAAACTTTCTTCATTTTCTTGACATATTTCACTGGATAGAGCCCCAGAAAAAAGTGTTAATACCCTATTTTATTTCGACATTAGAGTTTAATGACAAAGGAGCAATTTTATTCTTAGGCTCTTAAATATTAGTGTTGAAAATACCTTAGCCGGGCTTGGTGGCTCAGCCTGTAATCCCGCACTTTGGGAGGCTGAGGTGAGTGAATTGCCTGAGCCGGCGGGTTTGAGACCCTCCTGGGCAACTTGGCAGGACCTCATCTCCACAATAAATCAAAAATTAGCCGGGTGTGGTAGCACATGCCTGTAATTCTGGCTACTCGGAAGGCTGAGGCTGAAGGATCGCTGGAGCCCAGCAGGTCGAGGTTGTGGTGGCCGGGAGCGGCCACTGCACTCCTGTCTGGGCGACAGAGTGAGACTCCAACTCAAAAAAAAAAAAGAAAATATCTTGTCTATGATTTGGTTCAGAAATGCCCTGTACAGCTTAAGCTCAGCATGCAGTCTCTCCTAGAAAACCACTAGTAACTTTGACTCTTTTTTTTTTTTAAACTGGAATACGATCTTCTTGTTGTCTGTTTTCATACACACAACACATAAATGTGCATGCACATATGTGGCCTTCTTATGAAGTTCTGCTCTTTATCCTTCAAGACATAAATTAATAAGATATAACAAAAAAATTGTTTTTCTATATCCAGATCAGCAAGAAATTTCCTTATATGGTAAACATTAAAAATGCATTATCTTAGAAAAACTTTTAACTACTCTAAATAATATGAATCAGTTAAAATGTATTATATTTTTATTGATGATACCTGATTTACTAAAAAATAGGATTAAAAACTCTCCACGTCAGCCTTCCAAGTAGCTGGAACTACAAGTGTGCACCACCACGCCCAGCTAATTTTTTTGATTTATTGCAGGTGGTCTCAAACCCATGGGTTCAGGCAATCCTCTCGCCTTCGCCTCCCAAAGTGCTGGAATTACAGGCTTGAGCCACCATACCTGGCATGTGTTATTTCTCTGTTCTCACACCAAGAATTTACAAAACAATGATTTTCTTTAAATTGCAAAAAAAAAAATTATGCAATAATATATGAGATTGTATTTACTAAGAAATCTTTATTAATCTGTAAGTAAAGATGAGGCAAATCACTTATCAGGATGTGTCTAGCAGTCTGAGGAAATCATGCTACAACTGATTTTCAAAGTTCTCTTATGTACATCTGGAGTATTTTTTGCTTATAGTAAATGGACTTTGTTTCATGAAATTTATGAGGCTTTACATCATTGAAATAGCCTATAACAGTTGTTTTCAGTCTGATATGTGCCACTCTGATAGTATTGCATAGATTGGCGACTATGGCTTAATTGAGTAGTTAACTGTTCACAGCCTGTTGACACACACCATTACCACATACCCTTCCCAATAATAAATCAACAACAGTGTTGTGATTTTTTTTTTAAGGGATGGGGTCTTTCTCTGTCTCTTTGGTTGGAGTGCAGAGGTGTGACCACAGCTCACTGCAGTTTTGAACTCCTGGGCCCAAGTGATCCTCCCTGTCAGCCTTCCCCCTATTGGCCCAGCTAATTTTTTGGTGGAGGTGGAGTCTCACTTTGTCACTCAGGCTGGAGTGCAGTGGCATAATTATAACTCACTGCAGCCTCAGCCTTTCAGCCTCAGCCTCCCAAGTAGCGGGACTATAGGTGCATACCCAGCTAATTGTTTGATTTTTGTAAAGATGAGTTATCGCCACGTTGCCTAGGCTGGTCTTGAACTCCTGGACTCAAGTGATCCTCCTGCCTTGACCTCCTAAAGTGCTGGGATAATATGTGTGAGTCACTGTGCCCAGCCACAGTACTTTTTTTTTTTCAGTTTTATTTTTTGTAGAGACAGGCCTCTCTATGTAGAGACAGGTTTCTCTATGTTGCCCATGTTGATCTTAAATTTGTGGACTCAAGTGATCCTCCTGCTTCAGCCTCCCAAAATACTAGGATTATAAACATGAGCCACCTCACCCAGCCTATGTTATTTTCAAATAGTACTTTTTTTTTTTTTTTTTTTTTTTTTGAGTTGGAGTCTCACTCTGTCGCCCAGACTGGAGTGCAGTGGCCGCTTCCGGCCACCGCAGCCTCGACCTGCTGGGCTCCGGCGATCCTTCTGCCTCAGCCTTCCAAATAGTCAAACAGTATTTTTTAAGAGATTATTGCTTATATGCTTTTGGTGTTTAAAACGACTGGAGAAATCATTTGCTGTGATCAGCCACAGCTCTGTGGTTTTTTTTTTATAACAAGTAAAGTAAATAAGTCTATTACTACACTTAATTTACATATATGCCTCCTTTACTAAACTTAGAGCTTCTTGATGTTTGGGGCCTTGTCTTCCTTGTCTTAATATTACCAGGGTATAGCATAGTTTCTAGCATGTAGTAAATGTTCTTTTCACGTTGGATGCTGAGTGAATTATTGAATTCATAAGATGAGTCATTCCATTTGTAGGTGGCTGTGTTTGTTTGGAAGTTTTTAATTATATGAGCAGAGATTGAACTTCCTCTAACTTTTAAACAGTAAACTTCATACGTCTTGTGATACCACACAGAATTATCATAATCCCTTTTCCATGGAGTGCTTGTTCACATACTGTATTTGAAAGCAGCTGTTGGGTCTCATTCACATTTGTTTCAGTTGTCACTCATGTGACTGTGTTTTATGTTCCTTTGCTATTCAGGTTATATTCTTTGACACACTTCACTTTATCTCTATTCCCTCCTAATGCAGAATTTTTAGAACTGAACCTAAAACTCCAGATGTGGTGTAGCCAATATAAATTAGGATAGAACTATTAACATGTGTCCTAGGCTTAATTATAACTCATGTTCTTTACAGGACTCTTATTAAGATATTTGTTGTGCTAGGTATTAAAAGTATTCTGATGCATGAGGAGGGCTTTTGCAGCTGCCTTGAAACTTGTGGTCAATGTTACCTGTGGATCAGTGCACAAATGTGTTTCTCATGTATCCTCAATCTCTTCATCGCAGCACATTACCTGACTAGGAGCATGGGTAGATTCTGTTCCCATAGAAGCATCTTTTAGTTCAGTTGTTGTAACAGTTTTTTGCCAATTTCCTAAAAGCCAGGATTGTAAACTTTGCTTTTAGGTACATGACGTTCACTAAATTTGTGCTAGGCTTAGGGCTTGATTGATACAGGGGTCACAAAGGTGAAGAACACGTGGTCCCTGCCTTTAAGAGGTTCAGTGGAGCATTCCTGCCCTTGGTGCATGCGAGACTAGGGTGGATTGGGCTCTCAGAGGAAATCATAGTGAACCGTTCCAAAATGTTTGCATCTGTTTCATTCAGCTTGGATGTAGGAACTCTGTGGAGCAGTGCTGTCCAATAGAAATATGTTGTGAGCCACATATGTAATTTAAATTTTTCCAGTAGCCACATTAGAAAAGTAAAAAATTACTTAGCATGGTAATGCAGTTCTTTAGGCTGCTTTATTAGAAGTCAAGTAGACTTGCCATGCTCTGCACCAGTCTGACGACATCTAGTTATACTATTGTGCATTTGGAGGACAGTGGTCTGGGTGGTGGCTAGGTTTGCCACCATGGGGACATGAACTAGCACAGTGGTTAAGCATGGCCTATGGAGGCTATTGCGTGAGTTTGAATCCTGGTTCACGCAGGTTAGTTATTCAGCCTCGCTGTGTCTCAGAGGGAATATTTCATAGTGTGGTTGTAAAGATTAGTTAAGTTAGTAGCTAGAAAGTGCTTAAAACAGTGGTTGTATCATTGGAAACACTCTTAAGCATTTGCTGCTACTGCTCTTGTGAGGAACCGAGGTATTCCTCCAGAAAAGAAAAGATTTAGGGAGTGTTTTAGTTCTTTTGAAGGTCTCTTATATGGAGGAAGAATTTACTCTTTGTGATTACAAATGGCATATCTAGAACTAACATGGAGGAGGTAGAGGACATATTTTTATAACAGAGCCATTTAGAAATGTAATAGAGAATCTTATTAAATAGTAAGATCTGGGTCACTAGGAGTGATCCTGAAAGGCTAGTTGGCCACTGAAATTATTTAGTTGAGCAAGGAGTTATACTCCATTTTATGTTTCTAATAAAGTTTTTTTTAAAGCTCTATTGTTTTATCATTTTTCCTTCTTGGCCACTAATATATTGCACCTTCTATGAGGAATCTAGAAATATTGAAAGTTTATTCAGAGGAAGCAGTCTTCTTGTGTGTGAAGTAACGTATCTTTTGAAGTATAACATTTTCATAGATAATGTCTGTCGGTTGGTCTTAGATTTTTGCTCCAAAATATATTATGGAGGAATTTCCTGTTAAAAAGCATTGTTCCTTTTTCCTGACTTTAGGTTCTTTTTCTGTCTTTCCTGGCAACAGTCTTTCTTGACTATTTACTGAATTTTCTAGTAGCTCCATTAGAAAAGTAAGAACCAAAAAGTAAAAACAAATTACTTAGATGGTGATGCAGTTTTATAGGCTGCTTTATTAGAAGTCAAGTAGACTTGCTGTGCCCTGCATCAGTCTGACATTATCTACTCATACTATTGTGTGTCTAGAGGACAGTTGAATGTAAATTAAGAAACATACCTAATTTATTATATCCACTGTGAGAGAAATTCAGCATATGGTCTGATTGAAGAATATTACAAAATTGGTTTAGACTTACCACTTAGCTTTACTGGAATTTAAATGACCAAACTTAACATTAAGATAATTTTTATTAAGTACTCTTTTTTTTTTTCTAAGTCTGGGTCTCACTCTGTCACCCATGCTGGAGTACAGTGGCATGATCATGACGATCACAACTCATGGCAGCCTTGACCTCCTGGGCTTAAGTGATCCTTCCACCTCAGCATCCCGAGAAACTGGGACTACAGGCACACGCCACCACACCAGGCTAATTTTTTAATTTTTTTGTAGAGGTGAGGATTTGCTATGTTGCCCAGGCTGGCCTTGAACTCCTGGACTGAAGCAGTCTGCCTGCCTCAGCCTCCCAAAGTGCTGGGATTATAGACATGAGCCACCACACCTGGCCTAAGTACTCTGTTTAATAAGCCCATCATGCCTCTAGGCCCCACTTTTTCTCTGGCTTTGGATTCCTGTTCTACTACTATCTCAAGTCTACCTTGTTATTTGACCCAGAGCCTGTTCTATACCAACATCTTGACTACTTCTTTTACCTCAGCTGGTATTTGACTGGTTTTTTCCATCCAGGGCATTCTAGTTTTCTTTGCTATCTTTTCTCTCTGGTTTATTGTATATTTCTTAAATTTCTGCTTTCTTGGCTACTCTCATACTTCAGGGATTTTTTCCATCTTGAACTCTTCTGTTAGCTCCTGGCTCGTTGCTTGTTAATTCACATCTGTTAGACTCCTCTCAGGTCATGTTCTTGGACTCTGCCCTTATTCGTGTCTCTTCTTAATTTTCCAAAAGCACATCTCGTTGACATTTTCTTTCTCTGTAATTTTGAAATCTCTCATTGCAACACTTCCAAGCTAGGGATTCATAGCAAACGTTTTCATTTTAAAGTCATTCTCTTTCTTTCCCTTTAATTTAAACACTATTGTTTTGAGTACTTAAAGATCTCTCAATTAAATTTGTGGTTTTTTTTTTATTATGAGAAATTTCAAATATGCAGAAGTAAAGAGTATAATGAATGCTCATGTACTCATCACCATTTAGTAACAGTTTGGTAATCTTGTTCCATCAATTTCTTTTTTTTTTTCCCCTTTGCAAATTACATTGTGATGAGAATTCTCCAGTCCAGTTAGCATTCACACATATTTCCCTCTCCCCACTAAAATCATAGTTGCTATTTAGAGCAGATTATATTGTGAACATAGGATTTTTCTTTTAGGTCTCTTAGCAGATAATTTTAAGTAATTTATCACTTTCAGATTGAACATTTTCTTGATTTATTTTGTTTTACCTCAGTGGAGGAGCACATGTGAGGGTTTGGGATAAGGAACATATACCTCACAGCCTGTGTCCGTCAATTGCCAGTTAAGGATCCCTGCTCTCTGTTGTGTGGTATTTAGTAGATTACCTTAGTTTCTTTGTCTGTGAAAATGACTTTGGATTATGTGGTCTAAGTATACTCTTAACTCTTGGCATTTAGTAATTGAAAGTTCATTATTTACTTTTTGAGTCAGAGTCTCACTCTGTAACCCAGGTTGGAGTGCCAGCGGCATGCTAATGGCTACCGCAACCTTGACCTACTGGGCTCAAGCAATCCTTCCACCTCAGCCTTCCAAGTATCTGGAACTATAGGCATATACCACCGTGCCTGTCTAATTTTTTGATTTCTTGCAAAGATGAGGTCTTGCCAAGTTGCCCAGACTGTTCTCGAACACATTTGCTCAGTAATCCTGTCACCTCTGCCTCCCAAGGAGCTGGGATTACAGATATGAGCACTTGCACCTGGCTGAAAGTTTAATATAGGTTGAGTTAAATTTTTCTTTTATAATTTAATTTTTTAGCAAATGATAGCATGTTGATTTAGCTTCAAATGGAGAAGCCTAAATCATTCTTAGAAGGATATGAATTTCTAATTTATCCATTATGAGAAAACTTATACTGTCTAGCATGGGAAGATGAACATGGATGAATGTGTTAATATCTGCTTTTCCTTAGAGAGCCTCCTTTTCATCTGACCAGAAGAGGCTGGGGTGAGTTTCCTGTCAGAGTTCAAGTTCACTTTAAGGACAGCCAGAACAAGCGGATAGATATCATACATAATCTGAAGGTATTGTAATAAAACATTGCTCCCCAGAAATGAAGTATTTTTTCACCAGCTACATTTGACTCTTAAACAACACTGGGTTTAGGGATATTGACCCCTGCAAAATTAGCATATAAATTCTGACTCCCCAAAAACTTACCTACTAATACCCTACTGTTGACTAGCAGCCTTACTGATGACATAAACATTGATTAACACATTTTTTGTATATCTAGTTTATACTATATCCTTATAGTAAAGTAAGCTAGAGAAAAGAAATGCTATTAAGAGAATCGTAAGGAGCTGGGTGTAGTCACGTGTGCCTGTAGTCCTAGTTACTGGGGAGGCTGAGGTGGGAGGATTGCTTGAGCTCAGGACATTAAAGCTGCAGTGAGCTATGATTAAGCCACTGCACGTCAACCTGGATGACAGAGCAAGACCCTGTCTCAAAGTAAAATAATAAAGAAGATAAAATATATTTGCTGTTCATTAAGTGAAAGCGGATCATTGTAGAGGTCTTCATCCTCATTTTCTTCATGTTGAGTAGACTGAGGAGGAAGTGGAGGTGTTGGGTTTGTGTTTTCAGGTGGGAGAAGTGGAAGAAAAACTGCGTAAAAGTATACCCATGCAGTTCAGATCTGTATTGTTCAATTTAAAGTGGCAGTGTTAGGTGTTCTGAGTGCAGTGGCCAAGGAGAGTAGTATAGCAGTCATGTTTTTGAGTGTGTTATACATACTGCTACAACACTTCTTTGTTCTCTGAACAGTGGGGCAGGGGGGTCACTTTATGGCACAACATATATTCTTTTAAAAGATAGACTTCAGTGGTCAGGTAATCAGAAGACTTGTTTTTTTAAAATCTATTTACTTTTCTATAAAATGGGACAAATAATCTTGTCTGTTTATTTCATAAGTTAAAAGATATGTTTATTTTATGTGGGTAAAGATACAGGTGGACATGTTTCAGAAATAATGAAGTCAACTGGGCTCGGTGGCTCAGCCTGTAATCCCAGCACTTTGGAAGGCCCAGGCGAGTGGATTGCCTGAGCCTGTGGGTTTGAGACCAGCTTGGGCAACTTGTCGAGACCTTGTCGCTACAATTAAAAAAAAAAAAAAAAAATTAGCCAGGTGTGGTAGTTTTGACTACTTGGAAGGCTGAGGCGGAAGGATCACTGGAGCTCAGCAGGTTGACGCTGGGGTGAGCATGCCACTGCACTCCAGCTTGGATGACGGAGTAAGACTAACTCAAAAGAAAAAAAAAAAACCAAGCAGAAGTTATGAGATTAACTATTGTGTTGTAAGAAATCCTTCAATGACAGCTATGTCCATGTGGTTTATTATGCAGCCATTATATATTATATTTCATGGAGCGTTTGCTATATATGGAAGAAAACAATCACTAAAGTAGGTAAAAAGCAGAGTGCAGGCATATCTTGTCTTATTGTGCTTCACAAATAACTGTGTTTTGTATAAATTGAAGGTTTGTGGCAGCCCTGTGTCAAGCAAATCTTTTGGCACCATTTTTCCAGTAACTATGCTCACTTTATATGTCTGTGTCACATTTTGGTAATTCTCAAAATATTCTCAAACTTTTTCATTATTGTAAATGTTTTGGTGATGTGTGATTGGTGATCTTTGATGTTACTATTGTAATTATTGTGGAGTGCCACAGACCATGCCCATATAAGATGATGAACTTAATCAATCAATGTGCGTGTTCTTACTGCTTCTCTGACCAGCCATTCTTTGTCTCTTTCTTTTTTCTCAGGCCTTTTTATTTCCTGAGACACAGCAATATTAAAATTATTCCAAATAATTACCTTATAGTGACCTCTAAGTTTCAAGTGAAAGGGATAGTTGCACATCTCTCACTTTAAATTGAAAGCTGGAGACAGTTAAACTTAGTGAGAAAGGCAAGGCATGTCAAAAGCTAAGATAGACTGACAGCTGGATTATTGTGCCAAACAGCCAAGTTATGAGTGAAAAGAAAAAGATCTTGAAGGGAATTAAGTGTGCTGCTCCGGTGAACACACAGATGATAATAATGCAAAACAGTCTTGCTTGTAGGGAGAAAGTTTAAGTGGTCTGGATAGAAGATCAAACCAGCCACAACATTCCTTCAAGCCAAAGCTTAATTCGGAGGAAGACCCTCTCTCCTTGGTTTTATTGTTTCATTGTGTATTGGCCTTCAGACCTTAAGCACCTGTATTGTGGCCATGTGATTCTGTTTTGTACTGCAGTATCAGTTTTCTTACCATTTCCATGTTAACTATCAGAACTATCTTTGATTCTTCCTTTTTCTAAATATTTGTTCAGTCGCTCACAGACTGTTACTCTTTCTTCATAATCTCTTTTCCATTCTGCCTCTGCCCCCTCGCTGTTGCTAGGCTGTTTTTCTACTGCTTCCTGATTGGCTCTTTATTCTACCTTCTTTCCCCCCCTGTCAATTCTACATAGCACCATCTGATGGTTGGTTTAAAACAGCAGAATCATTATGCTATTCCTCTTTCAGAACAGTTGATTGAATTCCTGTTCAGGTTCAGACTCCCCTGCATGCCTTCCAGGATTTTCCACATTTTGACTCAACATCTTCCCCCTAAATTATCTGCACCAGTCCTCTGTATCAGATTCTGTTCCAGCCATGTCAGTCTGTTCATGTCCTGGAGATGCCTGTGGCCTTCTTCCTGTGTTTTTTCATGCTCTTCCTCTCCTTGAATACTTGTCTGGATTTTTTCCATTCTTCAAGTTCCTGTGTAACTCTTCCTGGCTGTTTAAGTCACAATGATTTCTGTATTCTGAAATTCTATAGTAAATAAAAATGTGTATTTGATACTGTAAATATTACATTAAATATTAAATGCTCTAGGTATTAGAGTTATGTAAATTTCAAAGTTCCTAGAATGTGTGAAATTCCCATATCCTACATTTCTGGCAAGTAGACATTAATCTCTCCCCAAACCTTTACTTTGGAAGGAACACAACTCTTCCAAAGACAGTACGTGAGCCATTTAGTAAGTAAACTTTCTTTCATAAATTTACCTAAAACTGCTTTAAAAAAAACAGAAACAAAAAACCTGACCCATTTGTCCTATTTTGATTTCCAAAATAATTCAGAATAAGACTTGGTTTTATAAAAACCCTAAAAATGTTTGAGAATAGATAGCTTTTTATGTTTCTCTTTAAATTATTTATTCTCCATGCAAAATCGATTTCTGTAACATTTCTTGTATGCTACATTTTCCAGTTTCTCCTAGTGTTTTGATAACAGTTCTGTTTTATCAGTGTTGTTCTTAACATTTGATCTCAGCAATGAAACGTGTCAGTGCAGATTCCAGAGAGACTATTAATTTTATTCTCTGGAGGATATGTGAATAGATGTAACATAATTGCCTATATCTTTTTAGCAATCACACTGTTGGCTAAGGTTTAAATAATGAAAACTCTAGATCTCTTCCATGAACTTTTTTTTTTTTTTTTTTTTTTTGAGTTGGAGTCACTTCATCACCCAAGCTGGACTGCAGTGGCAGGCTCACGGCCACCCCAGCTTTGACCTGCTGGGCTCAGGTGATCCTTTTCGTCTTACCTTTCCAAGTAGCCAGAACTACAGTTGTGTACTGCTATGTCCAATTTTTTTTATTTATTGTAGAGATGAGGTCTCGCCAAGTTGCCCAGGCTGTTCTCGAACCTGTGGGCTCAGGCAATCCAAAGTGCCGGGACTACAAATTTGAGCCACTGTGCCTGACCCTATGAAGTGTTAATCCACCCTGTATTGCTTTTTGATCTTATGAATGCTAAATCTCATGACTAACTGAGTTGTCCTCTCTGTGTTGGCTGCTGAGGAATTCATATAGACTTGACCTCTACCTCTTACAAAACTTTTAAATCTTGTGTTTACTAACCTACCCCTGACTTCATCTTCTTTCCCTCTGTCTTTCTTTTCACAATGTACTCATTTTCTCCTTGTCAGTCTTCTTGACACTGTCACTTAACAATATAAACATTATGGAATATAAATTTTAAAACAAATATTAACTTAGCATTTTTCTGTGCAATTATAAGCTCTTTTGGTTATATTAATATTTGTACTCTTCTAAAAAATAATCATAGTCAATACATTTGAAGTCATTAACATTGCCTCTGCTGTCTGAATTTTCATTCTTTTTTTCAAAGTGCTTACTATATAATGTATCTTTTCACGTGTGTATGATACACGTGCAGTGTGTGTTTAAAATTATTTATAGCCAATTTAAAATGTTTTTACACAGTCTTTGTGAACCTCATCTACATGGCTGCATAATATTTCACAAATTGATGGGCCATGGTTTTTTTTAATCCTCTGTTACTGGATATTTGTATTGTTTTTAGTTTGTGGTTACAAATAATGCTATGTAAACATCTTTTGTGTAAAACTTCCTCCATTTTTAGATTGTTCTTAGAATAGGTTTTTAGAAGTGTATAATTAAAATTATAGTGTAGAGGCTGCCTGCAGTGGCTGATGCCTATAATCCCAGCACTTTGGGAGGAAGAAGTGGGAGAATTGCTTGAGCCCAGAAGTTTGAGACCAGCCTGGGTGGCATAGCAAGACATTGCCTCTACAAAAAGTCAAAAAATTGTCCAGGCATGGTAGCTCAAGCCTGTAATCTCAGTACTTTGGGAGGTCAGGGTGAGGGGATTGCCTGAGCCCATGGGTTCGAGAACAGCCTGGGCAACTTGGCAAGACCTCATCTCTACAATAAATTTTTTTTAAAAATTAGCCAGGCGTGGTGGCACGTGCCTGTAGTTCCAGCTACTTGGAAAGCTGAGGCGGAAGGATCACCTGAGCCCGGCAGGTCACCGCTGGGGAGGCCATGAGCATGCCACTGCACTCCAACCTAGGTGACGGAGTGAGACTCCAACTCAAAAAAAAAAGATCAAAAAATTAGCCAGGTGTAAATAGTGCACACGTAGTCCCAAGTACTTGGGAGGTTGAGATGGGAGGATTGTTTGAGCCCCAGGAGTTTGAGGCTATGGTGAGCTGTGATCATGCCTGGGTGATAGAGTGAAAACCCCTGACTCAAAAAAAAAAAAAAAAATTGAGCTAGAATTCAAACCTGGCTGACTGGCTCCACAGTCCTTACCTCTAATTGTGATATCTTGTTGCCTCTCATAGTTCTTGACATTGCCTTTATTTTATACCAGAGAAAACTTGATCTTGGATCAGTAGTGGTCTGACATCTGCAGAACCCTGATTTATTTTCCTTGGGGATTCATTTTGCTATAACCATCTTTCCCTCTGAAGTTCCAACTCCTAGAAATTTCAACTACAACTTGAGATAAAGATAATGAGCAATTCTAATCAGAAGACAATAATGTGGAAAAAGGAAAAAATTAAACAGTAGAGTTCCCTTTGTAAAGAATGATGGGGCCAGGCTCAGTAGCGGAGCCTGTAATCCCAGCACTTTGGGAGGCTGAGGAGAGTGGATTGCCTGAGGCTGCAGGTCCAAGACCAGCCTGGGCACCTTGGCCAGACCTTGGCTCTGTAATCAAAAATTAGCTAGGGGGCAACCCCTTTGGGTCTCCTCCTGCTGTGGGAGCTTTTTTGTCTTCTGAATAAATCCTGCTTTCTCACTTAAAAAAAAAAAAAATTAACCAGGCGTGGTAGTGTGAGCCTGTAGTTCAGCTTCTTGGAAGGCTGAGATAGAAGGAAGTATTGCCAGAGCCGGAGCCCAGCAGGTCAACGCTGGGGTCGCCGTGAGTGTGCCACTGCACTACACCCTGGGCAATAGAATGAGACTCCAACTTAAAAAAAAAAGAAAAAGAAAAAAATTGTAAAGAATGATGAAAATCAGAAAGATGTACTAAGTAAAGGGGAAGTCCGTTATCAGGGAAAATGTATCCAGAGCAACTAGTACAATTCAAAAGGACTAATTAATTAATTAGTTAATTAAAAGGGTTATCTTGTCCCAGAACATTAAAGATTTTTAACTGAAGTGGTGAATTGATACTATACATTAAGAATTATTGCCTGAACCCGCAGGTTCAAGACCCGCCTGGGCAACTTGGTGAGACCTCATCTCTACAATAAATCAAAAATTAGCCGTGCGTGGTAGCGTGCGCCTGTAGTTCCAGCTACTTGGAAGGCTGAGGCGGAAGGATCGCCGGAGCCCAACAGGTCGAGGCTGCGGTGGCCAGGAGCGGCCACTGCACTCCAGTCTGGGCGACTGAGTGAGACTCCAACTCAAAAAAAAAAAGAATTATGAAAAAGTAGATCCTATGGTGTGAACACTTGTGGTTAAAAAAAGGTTTTAGATAAGATTGTATCCTAGGATTAATAAGCGCAGTGAAATTTAACACTCTCCCTTTTGTCTTTTTCATAGCTGGATAGAACTTATACTGGCTTGCAGACTCTGGGAGCTGAAACGGTAGGTTTTCTCCTACAGTATTATTTGGGAACAAGTAGAATGAAAATTGATCTTCATTTTTAATTTGGGAAAAAAGGAAATTTTAAAGTTGATCTCCTCCAACCCCTTTTTTGTTTTTCTTTCTTTCTTTTAAATTGTAGTTAAAAAACAAGATTTGTCATCTTATCCATTTTTTCTGTGTACAGTTCAGTGATATTAAGTACATTCATGTTATTTTGCAACCATCATCACAGTCCATCTCTAGAACTCTTTTCATCTTGCAGAACTGAAACTCTGTACTTGTTAAACAATAGTATCCACTCCTCCCTCCCCTACTGTTCACTACTCCCTCCCCTCAGCCCCAGCGGCCACCATTGTACTCTCTGTCATTATGAATTTCACTGCTACTCTAGGGTACCTCAAATAAGTGGAATCATAGTATTTGTCTTGTGATTGCCTTATTTTGCTTAGCATAATGTCCTTAGATTTCATCCATGTTGTAGCATGTGTCAGAATTTTTTCTTTTTAAGGCTGACTAGTACTGTGTTGTATGTCTGTACCACATTTTGTTTGTCCATTCATCTATCAATGGACATGAGTTGCTTTCCCCGTTTGGCTGTTTTTTTTTTTTTTTTTGAGTTGGAGTCTCACTCTGTCGCCCAGACCGGAGTGCAGTGGCCGCTCCTGGCCACCGCAGCCTTGACCTGCGGGGCTCCGGCGATCCTTCCGCCTCAGCCTTCCGAGTAGCCGGAATTACAGGCACGCGCTACCACGCCCGGCTAATTTTTTGAATTATTGTAGAGATGAGGTCTCGCCAAGTTGCCCAGGCAGGTCACGAACCTGCGGGCTCAGCAATCCACTCACCTCGGCCTCCCAAAGGCGCGGGATTACAGGCTGAGCCACCGAGCCCGGCTTCGTTTGGCTATTTTTAATAATGCTGCTGTGGTCATGGTGTACATGGCCCCATGTGCATGGTATACATTGAATCCCTGACTTCAGTTCTTTCGTGTATGTACCCAGAGGTGGAATTGCTGGGTCATATGGTAATTCTATTTTTAATTTTTTTAGGAACTACCACTATAGTTTTCCTGGAAGCAACACCATTTTACATTCCCACCAACAGTACACAGTTCACATCCCTACTATGTTATTTTCTGTTTGGTTTTTTTTAATTTATAATAGTTATGCTAATGATTGTGAAGTGGTATCTTGTGGTTTTAATTTGCATTTATATGTATATCTTCTTTGGAGAAATATCTGTTCTTTTGCCTACTTTTAATCAGGTTGTTAGTTTTTTTGTTGTTTCTAAGTTGTAGGAGTTCTTCATATATCTTTAATATTAACCCTGGTCAAGGTATATGATTCCTAAATATTTATTCCCATTCTGTGATTTATTTCTGCATTTTCATTTTGTTGATTGTTTTTTGATTAGCAAAAGTTTGGTGTCCCGTTTTTCTATTTTTTTCTTTTGTTGCCTGTGCTTTTGGTGTCATATACCAGAAATCATTACCAAATCAAGCCTTTTCTCTACATAAGCTTTTTCTCTATATAAGTAGACAAAAAATGTTGTTTAAGCTCTTGTTTATGTTTTTAATCCATTTTTAATTAATTTTGATAAATAGTATAAGGTAGGGATCCAGCTGCATTCTTTACATGTGGATATTCAGTTTTACTAGCAGCATTTGTTGAAAATACTGTCCTTTCTCTCATTGAATGGTCTTGGCACCCTTGTTGATGATCATTTGACTGGATATGTGAGGTTTTATTCTATTCCATTACTCTGTATGTCTGCCTTTACTCCAGTACCTTACTGTTTCTGATTACTGTAGCTTTGTTATAAATTTTGAAATTAGGAAGTATAAGGCCTCCAACTTTGTTCTCCACCCTCTCCCCCTTTTTTAATATTTATGATATAATATCAGCAGTAGTCATTAGTTAGCTAGTCATATCTTACTCTGCCTACAGAAATGAGCTGTGTTACATCAGAAGATATTTATTGAGCACCTACTATATGCTAGGCATGATCTAGGTGCTGGGAATACAGAAATAAACAAGATAGCATCTTTCCTTAAGGAGTTAGATTCTTGGTGTTGAGAATGGGTAGGGTAAATGTGAACACAAAAGCAAGAAAAGATAATTTCAGTTCTAAATAAGTGCCATGAAGATGAGAGTAGCTGGGGGCACAGGGAGTTTCTTAAGCTTGAATGCTTAGGGTTCTCTCTTAGAACTTGGCATTTGTTTGAGAACTACTGGTAAGAAAGATGGAAATGCAGAGTTCTGGAGGAATAGTTTTCTAAGGAGTAGAAATAGCAAGTGGAAAGACCCCAATTTTGTGATTCATTTCACTGAAATATATATCTGCTAAGCCATATATCCTAGATTATTTTCTAGGAAAAATTCTTTAGTTTTTCAGATTGAAATTGCCTTTGAAGTGTAACTAGAAATCATTTGTCACATCTTTTATACCACACTCTGGGACAGAACTTAAGCTTTCTGTGATATTGATGATGGATTTATGAGCCCAATTATTTCCCAATTGTATAGGTAGTGGATGTTGAACTCCATCGCCATTCTCTTGGAGAAGACTACATTTATCCTCAGTCCTCCGAGTCAGACATCTCTGATGCCCCTCCATCTTTGCCTTTGACCATTCCAGCTCCAGTGAAAGCTTCTTCACCAATAAAGCAGTCACATGAGCCAGTACCTGATGCCTCCGTGGAGAAAGGTACTACAGTATTTTTCCTTGTGTCAAGTCACTCGGGGCTTTCTTTTCTCATTTGCTGCCTTCAGAGACCTACAGTGTGTGAAAAAAGAAACTTTCTATAAACAGACATGCTTTCTCTACTACGTAGGTTCTATTATGAAAATAGCCAAATCTCTACTCTTTTCAGAAAACGTTGTTTTATTTATTTATTTATTTTTGAGTTGGCGTCTCACTCTGTCGCCCAGACTAGAGTGCAGTGGCTGTTCCCGGCCACTGCAGCCTCTATCTGCTGGGCTCCGGCGATCCTTCCACCTCAGCCTTCCAAATAGCCGGAATTTATTGTAGGGATGAGGTCTCGCTGCCCAGGCGGATCTCGAACCCGCGGGCTCAGGCAATCCACTCACCTCAGCCTCCCAAAGGCACGGGATTACAGGCTGAGCCACCGAGCCCAGTGAAAACGTTGTTTTATAAAGTTGTTGTTGTTTTTTTTTTTTGAGTCCGAGTCTCATTCTGACTCCCAAACTGGAGTGCAGTGGCATGCTCATGGCCACTGCAGCCTTGACCTGCTGGGCTCAGGCGATCCTTCTGCCTCAGCTTCCCAAGTAGCTGGAACCATAGGCATGTGTCACCATGCCTGGCTAATTTTTTTTGGTTTGTAGTAGAGACAGGGTCTTGCCAAGTTGCTCAGGCTAGTCTCAAATCCCTGGGCTCAGGCTGTTCTCTTGCCTCTGCCTCCTAAGGTCCTGGGATTACAGGTGTGGGCCACCACACCTGGCTTCTTTAAAGTTCTAATGGCCGTAGCCGGGCTCGGTGGCTCAGCCTGTAATCCCGTGCCTTTGGGAGGCTGAGGTGAGTGGATTGCCTGAGCCCATGGGTTCGAGACCCACCTGGGCATGGAGACCTCATCTCTACAATAAATCAAAAAATCAGCCGGGCGTGATAGCACGTGCCTGTAATTCCGGCTACTCGGAAGGCTGAGGCGGAAGGATTGCCGGAGCCCAGCAGGTCGAGGCTGCGGTGGCCGGGAGCTG